AGTTACTCTATAGAAGGAAGTATAGGGGTTGTAGTACCTAATGCTAGAACATTTAAAAGAGGGCGTGCTCAGTTATGACTGCTTTGATTTAGTGCATTAATACAAAAGTGCAGACAGGTCGTCTTCGTTTAAACAATGAAATAATACCTTTGCAACAGAACTATTTCTGCGTGCTTTCAGCCACACAGAATATTCTGAAGGAGTAGGAACAACATTAAAATGGTCGCAGAGGTTCAAGCTTTTGCTATAGCGGTTGTTTAGCTTGAGGTTACAACTGATTAAGGCTGTTTGACCCTCGTTACCTGTTTACTGCTGGTCGTGGTTGAAACGGTATAATTACTTCAACATTGATATTCTAAACGGTCTGTAAGTCTTTCATTTAGATGCCTCCGATAGAGCTGAAATGTAGGGTTTGGATCCCATGACAGTCATCACAAAATATTTGCTGGAACATAGTTTATTTTCGAAAGAGATAGTGAAGCGCGATATATATATATAATTGTGATGAGATTATAGTTGGAAGTACTGGTGTTTTAACTCTCTGTCAGAAGGTTATTATTGATATTCTCAGTGGATCTGAATTGACTGAAATTAAATCAACTTGATAGGTTAATCAGATAGTCATAGGAAACTTTATTTAAATTCTGTGAGCAACAAGGAATGAATAACATTTCGAAAATCGTTTAGGTGTGATACACAATACGATAAACGGGATGGGCTCATAAAACTTCCGTTACTTCTATACAACCACATGAGCAGAGATCTAAGGATTTCCGTAAGTTCCACACAGCCACTTGGGCAGAGATCTAAGGACATCCCTAACTAGGGCAAGCTCTGACGACTTCTGTAACTTCCGTATAGTCACTCGGCAGAGCTCTGACGACTTCTGTAACTTCCATATAGTCACTCGGGCAGAGCTCTGACGACTTCTGTAACTTCCATATAGTCACTCGGACAAGCTCTAAAGGCTTCCGTAACTTCCACGTAGTCAATAGGCCAGAGCTTCGATGGCTTCCGTAACTTCCATCCTACCACTTGTACAGATATATTTAAACCCTTCTGCAATTTCCACACATTGTGGAAACTCATCTAAACAACCGCAATTGTTCTCATCCAATTGGTCAACGGTCAAAATTAAATGGAAGATCTGTAAAAGAACCACAATTTTTCAAGCATTAAATTCTTTTAGTATATAATGTTCTGCGTAAAATTAATTACTTGAAAGACTTCCTTAGCGATTAAAATTCCAAATAACTCCTATGAGTGCAATTTATCCTTTCCAATGGTGGAGAGATGTGTTCAACACTTGCTTACTTTATGTTCAACCAGGCACAAAAACTAACTTGTCCTGATTATATCTAACCCAAGTAACTAAAATAGTAGTACCAGACCAACATGTGGAGTTTTGCCAATTTTTTTTGTTATGGCAAATTTTGTTCTTCTCTGAACTAATGTCATGCATAAATCGGGCAGGTTATGGAAATTATCACGCTTTCATCCCCTTGTCGTATCTGGGTTATCAAAAATCTACTTTGGCGACCGCTCCCTAATTCTTCTGCTGATTGCAAGCTCCCCTCTCTGCATGAGAAGCAAAGGTGTGTGGAGGCCCAGCAGATAAACTTTTGAAATAGCCGCACTCACACACCAGGTAGCTCTGTATCTTACATCAAATTATTTTGCTCGTCAAGTTATTGAGTGAGTGACAACCACAATACTTCATTCTGCACTGCAAATCGCGACCTGTAAGACACTACAGTCGATTTGTTGATAATTTCTGTCATGATGTTATTCTCTCTCTCTGGTAGGACGCGGGACAATAATTCTTTGAAAATACGTTTTTATAATAAAACACGATAACTGAGAATGAGTATCAATATTAAAGATCCAAAGTAGCTAGTGAAAAATATCTATTTATGTCTATTACATTGTTTTTGCTGCCACCAGGAAGCGCTGAGTTGGCAAAATTGCCACCATTCAGCAAGCTACATTACATCGGAACAATGGAGCCAAACCTTATAAAATCCTGTCAGCTTCTTGTAAGTGCACATAAGCTCCACCCTAATTAGTATAACAGAAGACAGATTTTAAGCTTATACTGAAGATAAAAGTAGGGGTTATTAAACAAATGAGCAACATGTTGACATGTAATGCAGCGTATTAAAAAATCATATAAATAAAGGGGACAAGTTTCTTAGTCAAGTTCTCCATATATTTTTAAGGAAATATATTGACAGCAATACAGCAACCACAACTTGAGCTGAGACTTGTAGATTCTTTACTCTCATTGATGTATATGCAAGTACGTGCAGGTGCTCAAGATAAAGTGAATATGTCAACCAGAAAAGCAATATCATCAGTACCCGAGTGACTATTGCATGACAAACACATCAATCAATATCAGATGATTCGAGCGAGGTATCATCGCTTTATTTACCACGTGACATCCATATGGGCGTGGCAGAATATGTCATCTTTTAGATAAGGCTGTGTCTATTTTCGTTGTGTCGTAGCTTTTAATTCTACCTGACTATTACGATTCTTTGGTGGCTTTATTGGGTAAACATGAGTCTTAGGACTTGAGGGACGATCTTTATATTACAAGAAAAAATATTTAATTGACAAGGACTTCAGTTGACTTTGTACATAATTTTTTAAAATTATTCATATCTGCTTATGTTTTTAAAATAAGAACCATACGCAGCTTTTTCCTTTATGGTCAGTTATTTAGTACCAAACACTGTGTTACCTTCTCCCCCCCCCTGTTTATGGATTACTCAGGAATGACAATAGAATTCACTAAAGCGATAGTGTCAAATCCTTGACTTGTTCAAAATTGCAATATTTCTGAACATATTCCAAGACGTTAGTTAACCATAACATACTGACCTTGTCTAACTCATAAACACAGAGTACATTCTCTAATATAAACCAAAATGAATTCCAAAATTATTGAACACTAGCTGGAGTACCCGTCCGTTGGACGGGTGAAATAAAAATTCGTTTGTAATAAAGGGTAGGAAACAAACTTATCCTGTCTAATTCGGAAGCACTGAATATAGTCCAACATGTAAATCAAAACAAACTGATCCTATCCAACTACGTGTCACTGAAGATACCTCTACATGTAAAGCAAACATATATGCCCAAGGTTAACCCCAAAACACTGACATATCCCGACACATAAATCAAAATATATCCATTCTGTTTAACTCAAAAAATACTGAGCGTATCCTAATATACAGGGATATTATGAATATTATGGATATTAGAATATGAATATACCTCAAAATGTTTATAATATGCCAAAACTATCTGATCCTCATCTATTTCAGTAATATTGGCTACAAAGTAGAACGTATTAATTTGTAAAGTTTTACTAAGCCTAACAACGTGTCAGTTAATAACATGTTTCCGTTTGTAAACAACATCGTACTAATTGTAAAGCTGAGAAATACTCGTACAGATCTACTTATTAATTTTTTTACGTTATAAGATATTTTAAAATAATCTAATGTTTCTAAACCACCAGATTTTATAGTTCCTCAATGTGTTTTTCAGGCACGTAATATCATGATCAAACTACACACCCTTAATGTTATCATAGTAAAACTACAAAATAAACTGAGTTACGAAACTAAAGTATAACACTTTCATGATCAGCTTTCACAATTATAAAACCATCAAACTTCAAGGTTAAAACATTATATGAAATAACCTGGTGCAACTACGCCTTTAACGTGAATAAGCTTCCTTAAAAGCACGAGAACCGTTATGTTATATCTTTCAAAGATACCTCTCAAACGACGACGGGTTAGAATTAATCGAATAAAGTATGTGAATTGTATATAATTATGTGTTTAAATTTCTCAACCAGTATGTATATATATATATATGTACATAAATTATCAATTTTTTCTTACAATTTCATGCCTACGATAGAATTAAATAAATAATTGATTGACAATAATTACTCTTCACTTACTTAATCTAGATCACATTATAACAGTCGTTGTTCATGCAATTGATGATATATATATAGCGCCTAGATCACTGCTATGTCCGTTGTCGTATCGAAACTGGCCTGATGAGCCATGGTATGGGGCAAAAGGCCTCTTAAGAACTATATATGGCAGATGTAATGTGGTTGGCATACTATTACATACTATTATTTGCTTTCACTCATACGTTCTTAGAGTAACTAGCACAGTGGCATAATTATAACAATATTACCATTGATCTATGCAGCTAGGGCATTATCCTAGAGAGGAAATTAACGAATTAGTTGCTTCGTTGCATTTCCAAATGATAAACTTATAACTTATTGATAATCTGTTTCCGTTGGATTGTTGAAATTCTTTGTCACTACGTCTCTCGTTATCAAACAATTACTCTCCAATTACAATGATTTTACACTATCATAACGTATTACATACAGGTAACACATTAGACATCAATCAATCTGCCTAAGTCACGGAATAAAAGTATTATACATCTTTGTCGTTCAATTAAAGACAACCACAAGCTTTGTACGTTAACATTCTTTCTCTTCTGTTTCGAAAGGAATTTTTTTAAACTAACAGCTACTCTTTCTGTAAACTTGTGCTAAAATGCGCTGAATTTTATGATTTTGTTAAGCCTAATACCGTCATCATGTAGAGGAAAGAAATTTAGGTAGGTATCTGTAATTAGGAATAAAATGTATAATACTTTCAGACAAAACTTTCTGTAAACTTGTGCTAAAATGTGCTGAATTTTATGATTTTGTTAAGCCTAATACCCTCTTCATGTAGAGGAAAGAAATTTAGGTAGGTATCTGTAATTAGGAATAAAATGTATAATACTTTCAGACAAAACTTTCTGTAAACTTGTGCTAAAATGTGCTGAATTTTATGATTTTGTTAAGCCTAATACCGTCATCATGTAGAGGAAAGAAATTTAGGTAGGTATATGTAATTAGGATTAAAATGTATAATACTTTCAGACAAAATCCATTACAAATGACGACACATGACCCTTTCCCAGCTTCAGAGAGGCCGAAGCGTGTCTAATATCAAGTGAATTCTTCCTGACAACGCAAATGAAAGTTGTGACTGACACAAACATTCGTGCTTATGTGTTTAAAATGCGTTGTAAATATTTATAGGAATAGTCATCTGACCTTTTGTTTTGCTACAAGGGTTTAGCAATATTGCAATAAGGATCTGTACTACGCTTGTTTTGAAGGAACACTCTACCAACAGAGTTAAAGGGTTAACTCACTAGCTGTCGCTAGTAAGACACTTTTTAACAAGTTAACCTACCAGAGTTGCACGACCAACACCAGTTTGTAGAATTGAGCGATAGAATATATCATTACTTTGCTAATTACATTGTTACTGAAGCAAGTGATTATTCCAACATCATATGGAAATATACCTTCAGGGATGTTAGGTACTAATAACAGTATCAACCACATATTTCCGCTTTCCTTTCATATGCACATGGCTCACGTGCTTTACTAGCTTGCATTCATGAGGGTTTTAAACTTAGCCTTTTTATTTTTTGTTGTAAGAGTAAAAGGTCAATAACATCACGAAAGGTTATGGTGAGAATAATGACCTTCCTTCAGTTTCTCATTGACGATTATCATTATAAGAACATTTTGACTACTTTTCTTATTAAATTAAAAAACTCTCGTTGAAAGACTGGACACTATGCCAGACAGCAACAGTTACTTATGTTTTGAAGGAGAGATGAGAGATTTGACACTATACCATACAACTTCAATTACTCAATTGTTCGACTGATAGTTAAGAAAATGAGCACTTTGATCGACAGCTCCAGATCTTTAATTTTTTTCAAGAAAATTGTTTGTTTGTTTGTTTGGAGTTAAGCACAAAGCTACACAATGGGCTATCTATGCTTTGCCCACCACGGGTATCGAAACCCGGTTTCTAGCGTTGTAAGTCCGCTGTGTCACTGGGGAGCTTGCAAGAAGAGCTGAATGACTAGACACTCTACTAACTAGCTTTAGTTATTAGATATTTTAAGGACCGCTTAGGTCAACAATTTTAAAGATTCAACTACTGATATTAACAATAAACTTAAGTATGTTTAAAATGCTTTTGTAAACAAAACTGCAATGTTTTGACATAAAAAAATGAAAGTTGTATCATACTTTTTATATATAACCCAATTGTTTATGCAAACACATACCCAGAAAAAAATGCTTAGGTTATTTATAATGAACACCTAAGTATCTTGGAAAGTACTAAATCTATTGTAATACATGTAGTAAACAATGTTTTACTTCACGAACTGAAAAAAAACAACAACACAAATTACAAAGAAATTAAACATACGAATTAACAAAATGTGCAGAAACTGTTAAGAAACAACTGACAAACGTTCATAATTTATACACTAAACCAACTGTACGTAAATTATGTAAACTATGAAACAATAAAATAGCAAATTCTTAACAACCATAAATGTACAACATATCTTAAAATTATTTAAGCGTGATAAAAGCAATAGACAATTTTAAGATTTGGGCTTAGATTAAATGGGAAATAAACCACAAAAAACATGCTTTGATCAACATACTTGTCACGTGGTGTTAGTATAGGCTAAAGAGGTATCCATTTGCCTGCATATTGTTACTCAGCTTTTAGTACAAGTTAGGCAGAAGTTATTAGTATGGGTGTATAAAATGCAGATTGCTAAAGGCATAAATGTTATTAGCTGCCAGTCTGATCCCGAATAATTCATGTGCTGTTAGTCTGAGAGAAAGCGTAAGAGATGACGCTAGAAGCACGTGGGAGAAACAGGGTAAGGAAGTAAGGCTGAGAAAAGTTAAAGGTTGCACCCAACTGCCTGAAAAGTGTTGTTCTTACCCGCACTAGACCTTCCTTTAGTTCTTGGTTTGTTGCCAGAACTTGTGGACGTGGTGTTTGTGGAAACTAAGGATGTTTGTAAGGATTTAGAGCCTAAAAAGGGGCTTGTAGCGTGAAAGCCGTAGCTCGCGCCGGAGAGGTCAGCAGAAGGCGGAGGTCCAGCCGAATGAGGACCTGGGATGTAGGCAGGATAAGTGGGCATGGGATGGGCAGTTTGGTGGATGGGACTAAGAGACGTGGAGAAGCCATTACTACCTTCTCTAGGCTTGCTACCGGAGCAGCTGGTGAGAGAGCTTAACGTGGTTATCATTCCGGCGACTGTGCCTTTGTCATCCGATGTCCCGAACCCCGCTGCGCCACCGCTGAAGTCCATGCCTCCAGAACTGGCGCCGGTCACGTTGTCTGGTGTGGCATCCTTCGGAGGTGTTGGGGGAAAGCTGAACAAGTGTGGACTAGAATGAGAAGGAAGGCTGGAAGAGCTGGGAACTGGGTGAGTAGCAGGGTGCATCCCCAAAGGAGCTCCTGATGGGCTGGGATGATGAGGGGGCTTGCTTGAGAAAGGAGAACACCAAGCTGACCCATGTGCTGGATGTGGTACCATGGGCTTGGCTGTTTCGGTGATCCATGGGTGTAAAGGAGGGTGAAAGTGTGGCCGACAGACTTGGCCTCCTGATACTCTGGCTGCAAAGAAGATAAAATAAGTTCAGATTAATCTATAAATAAATAAAAAATCTATTATTATATCAGTTTAACATGTTTAAAGAGTACAATTAGTTTTTTACATAACTTAATTTTTCACATCTTCAGAAAAGAAATCTAACTTCTATCAAGAAGAACACCACCCCTAAAATTTCTACATTTTAAATACTTAAAATGTGTCCTCACGACAAAAAAGTGGATTCCGAGCTTTACAAGCTAATTGCCATAGTTTTAAAGTTCTTCCAGAATTTGTCCTTCGTAATCAATGAAATACAAGCTAAGACTTGCAGTATTTGAGATGCAATAGCTGTCAGTTACACTTTATTACACGTATAAACAAACAAAAAAAGCTTATGTAATCAGTTTAAATATTAGTTTCAGTTTCAGGGAAGGCACTACATTTTCTGTTTGTTGAGTCAGTTATATAAATTTCTGCTATGCTTCAACTGCGATTTTACCAAATTGCCCAAGCCACAAAACTGCGCGTGTAAAACTCGAAATTTATAACAGGAAATAAACGTGGCTTCCCCGTAGTGCACTGAGCCGCTCAATAAACAAACACCGTGGAAACTTAAGAACCTTTCCATAGACCCCGATCTTATTGTCCTTAGTTAACAGATTGGAGATACCTTCTTTTTTTTTTTCGTCTATTTTATCATCTAAGAAAAAAACACGTAGATTTTTTTTCAGGTTGGTAACATATCAGGCGCCATGATTTTCTTATGGGGGTTCATTTCTGTTCGTAGATACGTGTACATAAAACTGTACATGTTATGACTAGAATTCGATGATGAACAAGTTATATTTGAATAAATATTCATGCAAGTTTTAAAAATAAACTGAATCCTATATACTCATTGATTAATTGAAGTTTACATTTTCGTCACAGTTACACCTATGTAAATTCCTTTTTAACAACTATTTTGCACCTTATTATATAATATAAGGTAGACATATTGACATTTGAATCCTTCATTTTAAGCAAAGTATCTTACTGTATCGAACTGGCTGGGAGTATGTAGATGAACAACAGCCACATAAATGAGCATATGAAGAATTTATCCCGGCCAGAACGTGATTCTGTAGTATGACGTTTACCTGATCAGTGAGGTGACGAACGGTATGGTATTTGCCCATTCACACCGTACTGAGAAACCAAACCGCCGGCCGTACAGTACGTTATGGCTGAGCTATGTATATCTGTTTCGCTGCTGTCTGCAAATAGACGTGACGGCTCGTGGAATTAATGTTTGTTTATGGTCCCAAAGGGTGTTAGCTCCTCCTACCTCACTCCCGGCGACGCTCCTGAATAATAACACCCCCAAAAGAGCCCTACTTCGCTTACAGTCCTAGTTGTATTTTCATCTCAGAAAAGACATGAGTAAATATCTTCCCAGTCAATTTTCCTCAGTTTTTTTACTTGCAATATTCAGAAGCAATGAACAAGTAATTAGAATCATATTTGTTTGACTTATTGGGAACTGAAGCTTAACACGTATTTCTTTGAGACTGTACTTAGTACCTGTTATTTAATCTTGTCATTGTTGTTTGAAATAAAACGTCAACCATAGTCAGGTAACACTGTTAGTTAACTTCAAAGACAAATTTGGTAGAAGTCAAAATAAGATTAAATGCTATTGCGTTTTCCCTTGGTTTTTACAATTATTCAATGACGAAATGTGATACAAATAATGACGTGTTTCGTGAAAAACAAAATCATTTCGATGGTGAGTATTTAGCATATTATTTATACAGAGTAAAATTGATAGTTGGAAAGAAAAGGAAGGTGTCATAAATTTTATTTATTTAATTTTGTAATTTGATACAAAACTAATTATGCCCATTCTGAAGACAATGATATATACATACTTTTATAAAAACACTTTGATTTCATGTGGTGTCTGTGATCACCAAACCGTCAGTTAGTTTCAGTATTTTTTTAAATTATTTTTTACTTTATTTACCAAATATCAATAGAAATGGCAAGCAATGTATTCTTTAACGCGATGCCTACTTTTGCGTCAGGCCGATCCGGCAACAACTCTCGACCTCAGAGCGCTGCTGTAATACATGAGGGAAATGTAAAGTGTTTCTATGTTTTTTTTTATAAATTCACTTGTTGCCTGTCGGTGGTGGAGAGGCATTTAAAGCACGACACTTTTACCAAAGTGGCACACAAATTATGAACCTTCAGCCGTCACAGCCAGAATAGACTGAATTATGCCCCTTGCCAAAGGCAGGTAAAAGGGGATGTTGTGCTGTAGTTGGCGGGAGAGACCCCGCGGGGCTCGTCCTTGTCCTCGCGCACTTGCAACGCCTCGAATTGTTCAAGGGGTGGGCGCTTATTGCCGGCTCTATCAAGAAACTGCTGTGGGAAGGCTTTGTCAAGATGTCTGTTCCTGTTTACCAACTCTCCATGAGGCTCCACAAAGCCATGGAGATCGACACATGTTAATCTTAACGTAAAGCCACCATGCTTTGTATTCAGAAGAGTATAACTTACGGAATATAGTCAGAAGATTTACATTCAGATCAGTTTTAACTGTGGGCTTTGTCCAACGAAAGTATTAAGAAATAGGAAACGAAAAAGAAAACATAATTGCAAGTTTCAGGCTCTCCAGTAAAGCATCAAACTTTTCACAACATATAAAGATAAAACTATGAAAGAAACTAAAAAAACAAGTCATTTAACCTGGCGTAGTTTTTAGATACACGTACGTACGCGCGCGCGCGCGCGCACACACACACACACACACTTTGTGCTATTTCACTCCGAGAGAGAGAGAGTTTCAGTTTATTCACCTTTACAACTGTATTTACCACTTAGGTTTTCTTCACAACTGAGTGGTGGTGAATTGTGATATGAAAGCCTATGAGCTCGCATTCGACGCAACAAAACAATATACTAACCTGTTAAGAATATCCAGCTGGGTTGATGATAAATATTGCAACCCTATGGAGCTTTATATGGCCGTAAGTGAGAAAAATCTGAATAGTCTCAAATTCTATTTCGAAATTCTAAGAGCCCATGGGTGAAAGCAGAGGAAAATATGTTATAATATGTCAACCACATTATATCTTCTATACTCAATGCCGACGAAACCTTATGCCCCAACCAAGGCTCATCAGGCTGACTGAGATTGAACTGACATGGTAGTGACCGAAGCGATATATATATCATCATCGGTTTTCATGAAAAACAACTGTTATGATGTGAATCAGATTAAACAAATGAATTGTAATCACTATCAGTTTTATTAAAGCAGTTTTCATGACAGAGTATAAAAAGCGTGGATATGTATAAAAACTATAGAGCGTTTCGTTTTCACATCGTAAATCATATGGATTTTCATTAAATGAAAGTTTTTGCCATTGAACTAGTTGTGATCAGAACTGATACTCAAGTTCTCAGCCGATTACAGTAGGGTGATCAGAGCTGACATTCAGGCTCTTAACCGGTTTCAGTAGGATGATCGGAGCTGATACCCAGGCTCTCAACAGGTTTCAATAGGGTGATCAAAGCTGGCACTCAAGCTTTCGGCAATTTACAGCAGTGTGATCAAAGTTGACATCCAGGCTAAGTCTCAGCCGGTTTAAGTAGGGTGATAAAAGCTGACACTTAATCCCTTAGCCGGTTACAATAGGGTTATCAGAGCCTACACTCAAGCTCACAGACAGTTATAATATGAGTTGTGTTTACTGATGCAAGCTGACTTGTTTTCATATCGCAATTCATTATCTATCTGTATTTTACTTTATATATATCTATTGATCACAATCAAGTTTTGTTATCTTCCTAAACTTTATCTGATTTTATTGATCATAATCTCACTGGCATGTAAAGTAACATGTTTAATCCGGGCTTACGTCCAGTTTTAGCGTTTCAACCTGATATTGTAAAGTAACATGTTTAACCCGGGCTTACGTCCAGTTTTAGCGTTTCAACCTGATATTGTAAAATTTGGAATCCAGAATCTTAACAAGAAAGTTTGTTATATAATGTAGAGCGAATTTCTTGTTGTTTTGATTATGTACATAACTGGGTGTACAATATTTCACAAACACAATATTAAATATAAATTTTACAATTAAATCTCCTCACCTCTTCTAAACCCAAACCATTTCCATAAAAACTCACTTTTCTTGTTGAACGAAAAACAGCCTGTTAGCTCTATCTGTTGTATTTTATATACAGTCCATACAGATACTAACTAAAGAGGGCACTTAACAAAGAATAAGTTATTTCGCAAGTTATATATATATAGTGATAAACATCTGACACTGAAACGTTAACACTGGTTCAAATACCGAACAAACAACTAGTGTAGCCTAAAACATGATGACATTACTTCGGAAACCAAGACTACTAGGAAAGTTAATATAACATGAATCTCTGCGTTTGTCTCGAAGATGAGTTAGAAAAAATGAAATTGGACCACTACTTTTATCTTTATCAAATTTCAAAAGTAAAATCAATAAGTCAATAAATTTCTCTTTTTTTTCTTCTGACAGATGAACCTCGTTCTATCAACAACTGGGGCATAACAACTGGGCGTAAATGAAGTATGTACTGGAATGTATTGGTTTTGACTAAGAGAGGGGGAGCTCCCACTATTTCCCCCATTAACATACGTATCAAATTCAGAATTTTGTGGAAACCTCTAGAACTTGACAAAACAGTTTGTTGAAAAAAAGCGGGTGTCAGTTAAATCTTGTGTCACTGATCACGTAGTTTGTTAGCAGACCGGCTACCATCAGCTTTTAAGCTAGGCCCTGATCGTGTTGCGCTGTGGGCTAAAGTTACTGAACTCAGGCACGCGACATGACGAAACAGGGAAATTCTCTGGACGGTTATGCCTGCTACAGCTATGAAGTCAGCGAGCATTTAGTTCTGAGAATGTTTCGATTTTGTTCTAGGAATTCGTATTGATCAGCAGTTAAATCATGGAAACAGCTGTTACGTCTTAGTTCATTTCACCATC